CGGTCCTTGAGATTGCAACGTCTACCAAAACTGAGTAGTCTCAACAAAAGTTGCATAAGCATGCCACTTTTCAATGAACAGGTATTTTATTAAATTGTTTCATTTTTTTTGTTTTAATTTTCCAAGCCATCTTCATTATTTCTCTGAGTCGAAGAATAACTAAAAAATAGGGTGATCATAACAGTCGGTTTCAGTCTAGTGATATAGACTTTGGTTTAAGATGTCTATTTTCTTTGGGTGATATTTTTCAACATATGAAACTTTTCTCCCTTTTTTTCAATTAATATAGATAAATAATTACAATTTATTAAAAAAAGATAGGGTGATTGAATTTTAACTTGCTAGATCTTACGTCTGAGTGAAGGCTACACTACTACCATTGATAGGGAGTTCGATTATTATAATATTTCTCGTTTTTTAAATTATTTTTTTGAGTGACATTTTTAAAATTAGTTAAATAACGCTAAACATTTAATGTCTTATTAAATGATTAAATGGGCTAAGACATATTTAATACAGCCCTCTCAACAGCAAGCTCATGTTATTCTCTCCGGTGGGGCCATTTTATTTGTCACTTTTTATTATAAAAAATTGTTTAATTTATTTATCAATTTTGATTTTTAACATAATATTAAAATTTTCTTAAAAATAAGTCTTTTTTTAATTTTGTCTTTATTAATAATTATTTTATTTTTAAAACACATTTAAACTTCCCAAATACTGTTGTTAATAAGAGTAAATTTAAAATTTTAAATAACAATAAGCATAATTTTTTTAAATCTTTGTAATTTTTTTTCATAATCATACAAAATAAAAGCGTGACGGGTATAATGAAGTTAAAGTTGTATTTTATATTAAATAATAATTCCTGACACAAAATTTTAGGACAAAATTTCAGGAAAATTCTTTCAACCAGTAATCATTTGGTTTGCACGAATCTCAATAAAATAATTTAACAATTAATAATTAAAATTTTAATTTAAAATTTTTAAATTCAAATTTTGAATGAAATAAAAAGAGATTTAAAAATTAAAAAAATTTATTTTTTTTAAATAACTCATAATCAATGTACAAAAAAAAATCATTTGG